CATTTTAGTTGATGAGGGTGTCGATTCCCTGAGGGGCAGACGAATATAGATTCCATTCGTCTGCACCCCCCCCCCCCCGCCTCCCCCCTAAATCTAATCAATGCTTACAGAATAGTTGTTATAGTTTCCAAATAGATTTCATTGAATAGACATTGAAAAATCACAAATTTTTTTGACACTAGATCAACAAAGCAAAAAAAAGGTTTGAAACACTTTGACTTGAAAAAGATAAGAACCTTATTTGCTAGTCCTAATAAAAAAAGACAAAAAAAATTTTAATTTGTTTTTCAATCATATCGTGACAAGATTTCGACTAGGTTTATTATTATCTTGCACCAATTCAGTACCAAGAATGCCATCGAGATGAAAACTTTGGAAGTAGAATTGTTGAAAAATTACATTTGCATTGTTCAACAGGTTTCAATTACTGTGATAACTTGCCAAGTTGCGAGCTTTTAAAAGGTAAGGATATTACTTTATTACTTTGGTGTACGAACGCTCTAATCCAGGTGAAAAAAAACCCAAATTGATAGACTCAAAATTGAATAAGTCTCAAAAAGGCTTTTGTGCATCTCGGAATATATCATGATTGGCTCTTCGTACTTCACTTGCCCAAAACCATACAAGCAGTACATCAATCATTGATTATCAAAGACTAAAGCACTCAATAAATAGTTTAAAACTAATGGTTTTATGAAGTTTGGTTTTTGCAATAAGCCTTGTTTTGGGCGTTTTTCGTTTTGACCCAAACCCTCCAAAATGACAAAAAATAAATACCAAACATTTTATCAAAAAAACATGATCGGTTTTTTTATTAGATGCAGGCCTCTTAATTAGAACAAAATGGTAGTTTTTTAGACTAAGTTCACAGACTAGGTTTAGTATGATCTTGCCAAACTTTTAACGCCCAGTAATTAACAAGAATGCTTTGGAGATCAAAACAATGAACTTTGAATTGTTACAAAAATTTCATATGCATTGTTCCACATGTTTCAATTACTGTGATATCTTGCCAAAAATTGCGAGCTTTTTAAAGGCGAGTATTTTTATTAGATAATGCTCGAAAGCTCTGACCCTGGTTAAAAAAGGCAAATTGATAATCTCAAATTTATCAAATTTAATTAAGTTTCAAAAATGTTTTTGTGCTTCTTGGAATACATCATTATTGGCTCTTCGTACTTCACTTGTCCCAAAACATAAAAACAATGAATCAATTAATGATTATCATATAATACAAGATTCATTGAAAAAATTGTATTATTTTTTACACTAATGTTCAAAACTAATGGCTTTATTTTAAAAATTGATTTTTGGAGGAAGCATTAGGTTGAAAATTTTTCATTTTCAATGCCCATCATTTTTTTGGAGGAGGGGGGGGGGGGGGGGGTTTGATATTGACCTAAACCCTCCTAAAGGTTTTTTTCACAACCACAAAAATATTGAAATTTTCTTGCAATATACAAAAAGTTATGTGTTTTGGTATATGATGTGTGAAATTGGTAACAATAACTTACATGACCAGTATCATCAAATGCAGTTTGTCTGCTTGGTGAGTGCCAGTTATACTCTCTGGGTTTTCTCATGACAGAAAATTTTTGATTAGGATGGCAGAATTATCAGATACAAAATAAAATTTTAAAACAAAATCTTTTTTATATGTATTTTCTTTTATGGAGAAAGTGCTTATCATACAGTTTCATAGAAAGGAAAAAATGTCTGTCCCGGAATTGGCCGACTTTTTTTGCGATGACCCTGAACTGCCAGAAACTCTTGGCTGCGGCTGGGTTTCTAAATTGATACTTTGAGCCAAAATATTTCTTAAAGAAAAAACCAGACAAATACAGGCTGCCTGGTTGACGAATATTTTCCTAGAACACTAGTGGTGTATACAACTTGGTGACCTTTCTAAGAATTTTCAAAGAAGAAAAAAAACAGACTTTTATTATGTTAACAGCTTTTTAACAAAATCACATGACTCATTTGATAGCTTGGTTTAAGTAATTTCAAAATCATCAGCTTATCCCGCGCATATAGCCTGGGATGGCAAAGGTCCTAGGTCTCAATCCATTCAAGACTTATTTTCTGTTGTTATACTAAAAATCTCTTGTTTCCGAAAATTGACGGCTTTTTCTGTCAGTCTATGTTTAGTCGGCCTAATTTTCACATCATGGATTTTTTGCTGTGATCAATTTCCTAGTAATTGAAAGTATTTTTGACCTGTAATTTGTCAATCTACTAACCCCTGACTGTGTATAAAATCTCTCTCTGTTTTTTTTTGCTTTATTCGGTCGATATGTTTTGCTTTATGGTATATTAGCTTAGTGACCTTATGTTGCGTTGATTGAAAAAAATCCAGCCTTTCATATTACTTTTCACTTTATAGCTCAAAATCTTTATGACAACATTTTCGATTTTGGCTCAACAGGTGTTACATAAATACTGTCGGCTTAGTTGCTGCTCAATAAAAATTTTTTGATTTTTATTAAGCGCCGGCTGTTTGAGATTTGAACATGATACAGTTTGAGATTTGAACTCCACAACAGATTGCAGACATGCATTCGGAGTGATTGTTGTTTAGGTTTTCTCGACCTTTTTCAAGGTTTTTTCCAATTAATTGGCTTCCTTTTATTTTTTTGTCTGCTAGCTCGCTACGATAATTTTCTGTGTTGCCGCAAAGGATGCCAAGCTCCGCTTTGTCTCTATGTCAAGTTTTCATCTCGTTTTGATATTGTTATTTTCTTCCTTTTTCTTTCTTTCAGTTGCGACAGAATTAATTTCACTAGTGATAAGAAGAGCAGCCGATCTTTTCATTAGATAACCTAGCATCTACTTTTTCTCTGTAGCCAACATTATGTGATGTAATTTAGCGTGAACTTTTATCATTCAATCAGTTTTGTAGGATCATCAGTAATCAATTTTGTCGGGGTGTCGCCAAAGTGAACCAAAAATGCATGATTGATTTAGGTGAATGCGTTTTTCCTCTTGAACTTTGATTCTGCCTTTGTTTTTGCTCTTAACCTGTGAGTTATAACTTGTAACTAACTTTCATGTAAATTGTAGTAAAATAATAACGTCTGCTTCGATTTTTATTCTATAATGCTCCTACCAACTGGTTGTTTTTACATTTTTAAAATCCACTTTTGAATTTTTTAATGGATTTCTACGGTCGTCAAGGGCAATAACTATTCATATGTTTCCATGTGTATTTCCCTACTGAGTTATCATTTTCCGTGCGTTTTCATGAACGCCTACTTGTAAAAAAACGTTAATTTGTGAAATTTCTTGGCCTTGTCATGTTTACGACATTATATATACAAAAACCATTTTATGGTAGCTTTTTTCAAAGTTTAAAAATAAAAAACAGTGCAAATTTACAAACGGGAAGAAATATTCCAGCTAATCAGGTAGCGGTTAAACACTCAAATGTTATAAGCAGGATTTGGTCTTATTTTCCGGTTTGAGCGACAAGTTCAAAATTGGATTAAAAAGCAGTTTCATTGTTATTTCTCCATCTTTTTTTCACTTCACGACTTCATTTGTCATGTTCTACGCTAAAGGTCATCAGAGACGAACAACCTACATACTCTTTGTTAAATTTAAATTACCTTTCATTTGATTCACAAAAAAGGTCTTTATTAAAATATCAAGATGTGAACTATAAACTGACCTTCTGCCTCGTCTTTATCCATCAATATCTGTAGCTTATGTGTCATGTTAGCCAGTGGTTTTGTTCGTTTGTTCTTTTTTGG